ATTATTATTATTATTATTATTATTATTATTATTATTATTATTATTATTATTATTATTATTATTATTATTATGATTATATATTACTATTATATATTATATATTACTATTATATATTATTATATGTTATTATTACTATTATTGTTATTATATATATTTATTATTATTATAATTCATTATCATTTATTATTATTATTATTTACCATTATTATAGATCTTATTATCATTAATCACGTTATTACGTTTATATTTAGAGTGTGTTTCTTATCAAAAAGTCGAACTGCGCCTTTGTGAATTACAAGACGCATGAAGCTGTCCTGCAGGCCGCTTCTAAATATAATGAAAGAGGTACGTAATTATTCAATCTATTTATTAAACGTTCTGAATATCTTTTCATTATATATGTTTTCTCTTTTAGAGTTCAAAAGCACTAAGCTTGTTTGTCGTCCAAGAAAGGTAGTTTCATAACGACTTATAATTTACTTTATATTAGCTATATTTGTCATAATGATGCTATATCATTTATTTTATGATGATCTTAGCAAACTCCCGCGGATCTGAAGTTAAAATCAGAAACTTCTTCAGATTTGGCTTCAGATCACACTCCTCCTCCTACTCCTTCTGAAGCAGGTTCTACAGCTTCTTCCAGATCACGAAGGTCTTCGTTACCTCCACGACAACGAATCAGACAGTCTTCAGTTGCTTCAATGTCTCCTGCTTCGTCAGTTTCATCTGCAAAACCTTCATCAGTTAATAGATATTTTATTCTAAAATCGTTGACCCAAGATGATCTAGATATTTCTGTTAAAAGTGGATTTTGGGCCACTCAGCCACACAATGAAGCAGCATTGAATAAGGCTTTTAAAGTAAAATATTTATATATTTTTTATTACTTTATATATTGTGCTTATAATTACTTAAAAACCTACATATTATCTCTACGTTCACTTTTGTAGAGTGCTGAAAACGTCTTTCTTATTTTCAGCGCTAATAAAAGCGGTGAATTTTATGGATACGCAAAGTGAGAATTAATAATATTCTTGAATGAATTTGTAAATTATAAAGCTTGTTCAATATTAATCCATTAATTTATAGGATGGTGAGTCCAATTAGCAAAGAGACAACAGAGAATGTACAATGGACACCGATTGATGAAGCGGCTTTAGCAGCTTCATCATCACGACCTTCATCAGTCCAGGAAGATATAAAAACGAGATTAAAAAAGTCTCAGGATGAAGAGAATGAAGATTGTGAAGATGACAATATTCCATCGAGAAATTGGGGAAATACTTTTAAAGTTGAATGGATTAAAGTGTGAGTACTATTTAACGATAATCTCTTCTCTTCTCGCAGAGTACGCGTCTATATCATTATCTTGTTTTGTTACTACGCGTAAGTAGACAAAAACTTCCATTCATGCGTACACGTCATCTTCGTAATCCTTGGAATGCGAATAGAGAAGTGAAAATTAGCCGAGATGGTACTGAAGTTGAACCGATTGTCGGTGAGCGTTTAATTGCAGAATTCCACAAGACACCACCTTCAACGGTTCCAGCACAATATATGCCTATCAATGGCCCTCTATTAACTCAACCGTTGAATCTCGATAATCAAAGTGTTGATAGTGACACAAAAGATCGGTAAGAACAAACATGGTATATAAAATTTAATAAAATTTCCAAAGCATAATTAATTCTTAAACTGTTTATTACGTTGTTTTCAGGAGAGAATCATTTTCCTCTCAAAGTGGTGCATCATCATCGGTTCAAACTACTTTGCAACCAATAGTGGATCCAAACTTTATTCAAAGCGCTCAACCAGCATTCTTTCCGCCACCTAGTTACTGGCATCCCCAACATATGATAGTGCCTCCATTTAGTACTGGAACTTCAGCACCAGGATACATTCCTGCTCAACAAGCATGGGCAACACCTGTTCCCAAAGATTCATCGGGAGTCAGTCGTATACAGCCACCTCAATCAACAGGTGTGTCATCAGTGATGCCTTTGGAACAACAATATGTGGAGGTAATATGGGTAAATATAGTCATCCAAGTATCAAAACAGGATGGTTATTTCAATAAAATTGTTCATAAATATCACATAATTAATTTTTCATATTTTAGACTCCTGTTACTCAACATCATTACCCATCAGCCCCTGCTCATCAATTTTATCCTAATAATTCTGGTAATGCAGTAATGTCGCAATATCAAGCTCAACATTATTATCGCAACTCTGAAGAACAATATCAAGCATCTCAGCCACAACAAGAACAAAATCCTGAAAATGTGCCCTACCTGGTCGATGAACAAAGAAAAGGCCTTGAGGCTACCAGTAATGCATAGGAAATTTGATGATGCAGTTTTTTTATTGGTTAATTTAGTTTAAATGGAGTTTCTGTATATCATATCAAAAGTGTTATTTGTATCATTATATATATTTTTTTTTTTTTTTTTTTTTTTTTTTTTTTTTTTTTGTTTGTTTAAATTATTATTCTTTTTTTTTTTTTTTTTTT